GTGAGCTGTAAGTACAGAGTGAATTGGAACTAGGAGTTGCGAGGTCAAGAGAATTCAAAAGAGAATTAGAGTTCAGAAATTTTAAGAGATTTGTTGAAAAAGAGTATAAGAAGTCAGCCTGCGAAGACTTAACGTGTGATTTGAAGACGTTTTTGTGTTACAGTTACAGTAATCTCTAGGGTGCTATAATTATTTGTACTTACGCCATGTGAATATCCAATAAATCGATCTGCCAATCCAAATTCGCGTCTACAGTCACTCCTACACATGAAAATATGAATAAATAGGTAGGCCCAAGCATATTTTGATTTGGAAACGCTCATATCTATGCTCTAAACATGATTATTTCCATTTGATTCCTTGAGCACGAAGTGTAGATGATCCACAAATTAAACGAAGGCAAACGGAAATCAAGGATTTGCACTGAAAATATATTTGTAACATACAATTTCAGAACCTGAACACGCGGTAGCGTAGTATTTGCTTCAAGCCGAAAGGTCGAGGTTCGATTCACGACGAGGTCAATGGATTTTTCAACTAACTTAATCCTTCCAGCCGCATTATGTCCCTGGGGTCGACTCAGTCTCTAACAGAAATGAGTACCAGAGTACAAGAAATCTTTCTGGAGGTAAATGGTGGCCGGCGCGTAAGGCTGACAACCTCACCGTCATCTGTGAGCCGTAGGAGAAATATTGGATATTTCACTTGCAAGCTAACCACCTACAACACATTCACTTATTACTCTGTAATGATGTAGATTGTAAAGAAGCATAATAAAAAAAACTGTGAGCCGATTGTCTAGAAAACGTGGGAGCCTCGACGTCTCACAATCCTATGGGCCTCCACGGCCTGTTACAGGGATATCTTTACCTTTTCTTTTTCCTTGGCACTACAGCCCCAGTGGACCTAGGCCTACCTCCGTTCACTTCGGTTTTTCTAGATCTTACACATTCGGTAGGACTCCTTGGGCGGGTGATCAGCTCGTCGCAAGGCCTCTACGTGTACACAAACACAGAAAAACGCACACACACAAATTAACATCCATGCCCTGAGTGGGATTCGAACCCACGATCCTGGTTTCCAAGCGAGCGAAGACAGTACATGCCTTAGACCGCTCGGCTACCGTGACCGGCCTTTACCTTTTTACCTGAACGATGAAAGTAGTATTCCACAGTGGAGTACACAGCGATATCAGTGACATCGCATTGGTGTTGATTATAGGCAACTCGGCATAACCTATGTAAATATCCGAACCCACCCAACAAGACACAATTCAAGTGGGAAGCATTTAATCAACTGGCAAAATTACATTAATTTCTATAGTATAAGGTGGAAACCAGGATCGGTCACGTATGTCAACATATAACGCCAGAGTTTATGAACATTTTCATTGGCACGCTGTAATATCCACTATGAAAAGTAGTCGGGGTCAGAATGTAGGCGTTAAATGCACAGTAAATTCATCAAGTTCTTGGAAGTAAATGCAAGGCACGCGCTTTAATAAGCGAACTTACGAGGCAGTTTTGCGAGAGGAATTGTATCAAAACAGTGGATTATGCTAAACAAGGCAAGCGCTGTCGTCTGGCAGCTCCTGTTTTAACAAGAAACAATTGCGTGCTGCAGAGCTGCCTCAACAAAACAGGGTTCATATTGCGAAGGGACGCTACTGCCCTGTCACTATGCAGACACCCGATAATCCTTACTCTAAGTTAACACAACTTGAAGGGAGGCATACAGACATGTTAATCCTTATATTGCTTCTCTGTATCCGTTGCAGTAAAAGACAAGACGGATACAATGGTGCGCATGCGCGCGGATTAATATTTCTCTTTTATATCAAAGGCTGTTAACGAAATTTGTTATGAATGTTATGGCTAGGTCTGGTAGCAGTCATTTCTTAAATGCAATACATATTAAGTACATTTAATGTGGGGATCATGTGCAGTGATATTTCGTCAGAACCTGCAACGCTGCATACACCAATATGTATGTTTATTATTTTCGTCCGTTAGCCCTGCTATGCAGAATACTGAAGAAACGTAAAAGCTAGTAAATGTAACACTGTCCCTGTGCTTAAATAAGCACAAAGTCATCAAGCTCTATAGGCGAATGGAGGTATATACCCACGCATTCACAACCTCGGCATTAAATGGAGGTAAGTGGTCAGCCTCACGCTCCGACAACTTTATTCCGGGAACAAAGGCCCTGTAACCTACTGGATAGGGGGTTGGATAGCCCCAGAGACAGTCTGAATGCAGTGATAAAGAAAATGAGAAGTTCTGGCAAACATTAATCAACTACTTGTCTTTGACACGACGTGGACCGTATAGAAAACATCACCTCCAACAATTATTCGTTGCCAGTGGAATGTGTTTACCGAGCCATTGACTAGAAAGGATAGGTAGATACACAGTCCTATCCAGTAAATTGCTGCTGGCCCTCGCCAGCATAGTGACGGAACTCGTGATCATATTTTACTGTCAGACGGCTCTGGGAGTCTTCAGAACACCGCTTCGGCGACACATGTACTAAAATTTGGGATACACAGAGAGACCCACAGATTACAGCATGGACCGCATAGAAAACGACGCATCCGAGAATCCTTCTATTGTTGCGCGTATTCTTGGCAGAAAGAACGCGTTTTTCTATCCGTTCTCTAGCAATAATCGGGAGGAATACATACAGACACACAGACTGATGGGAGGAATTTATTAAACACGCCATTGAAATGGGCTCAGGTGCTATGATATACGCATCAAGTTTCATGAAGATTGATTCAAGCATTCAAAATTCATAGGTGAAATACACAAACACAGGGAGCAAGGACATAATATAAGCCCAATTTCCTTATTTTAAAGAATGAAAGTAGGCTTGAGGTCACCATGCGGTCTGTGTGACTCCGTGTCTGTGAATCGCTCGGCCAGTCATTTTTTGAATGCATGAACCAGTCTTTAAGAAACTTGGCACGTATATTGCAGCACCAGAGCGCAACCCAACGGCGTACTTTATAAATCCCTCCCATCAGTCTGTGTGTCTGTATGTGTATCCTCCTAACGTTGCTAGGCAACGGCTCGGTAGAAAAGTCACGGTGGCAATGAATGCACACGCAACAATTGAAGAACTGTTGGACGAGTCGTTTGTTCAAAATGAGGAAAGTAGGTTAAAACTCGACGCAAAGACATTGTACATACATTCTTCTACACGACTGACCCTGGACGTTACTTGCATACAGCATAAAAATAAATTTCTTCTGATGGAGAAGGCTGGTACAAGCATTTACCTGAACATACACCTCCTAAAAAATTTATTTAAGCAGATCATCTCCGTTATCATCACCCGCAGGGCTGAGCTTGTTAGCCTGTTCCGTTCTCATCTTTATGATTACGTGTAACTCTTTTTTACTTGACCAGGTTACCTGCCTGTTACAAAATTCAACTTGTCTTGGAGGGCCAGTGTTTCTGTTCAGTGGTTTGTGTCTTCTATGAGACAGGTTACCTGCCATGGCTAACTAGTGCTGTCTACTTGCGAAGTAACCCTTGGAAGCAGCTCGTAACAAGCGCTACTCACAGGGCTAGTGGGACCTGAGTTCGCATAAGGCGGGGTCTATGTACTCCTATATATGAGCTAGTAAATCCCATGCTTTTGCCAAGATTAGAATCCCTCCTGTCTAGCCCCTAGCCTTGAACTATCCCGGCTCCATATTCATGAAACGTATATGAATCGTAACGCGGTATTCCTGATTCTCAATAAATTCATTCGATAACCGTAAAATTGATAAAAATGTAACAACCGCGACCATCAGATTACGCGTTTAGACACTGTTGAGACCAGGTTTCTAGCTATGCACAAGACGAACACCTTGGGATATGAATGTTTTTTGTCACATGACGCTATTTTATGGAATAAGACCATCAATTACTAAGAGTGGATTGAGCAATGTAGGCCGCGCCATAGCTCAAGCGGTTAGTCGCTGGCTTCCCACCGCGGCGGCCCGGGGTCGATCCCGGGTCTGGTCAAATGGGATTTGTGGTGGACAAAGTGGCGCTGGGGCAGGTTTCCTCCGAGTACTTCAGTTTCCCCTGCCAATCTTCATTCCACCAATTGCTCCACAATCACCCTCACCTATCATCTGGGGCTGGTACAATAGGCCAGAAGTGGCCGCAGTACAAGGGACTTAGTCCCACCCCACTACCAATAAAAAAAAAGAGTGGAATCAGAAATGTAGGGCTTAAGTACATGCAAATCATCCGCTGCAATACAGCCTTCTTCCAACAAAACTTTTAACACAAATTCTGTTAATGAAGTCAGGCCGACAATGAAGTATAAACATGCTGTTTGACGTCAGTTGTTGACTTCCATTACACAACCATGAAGTTTATAATTAACACAAATTCAGAAGAAATATACCACATATTTCCAAAAAGAGACAAGACACACGGTGGCTTGCGACTAGTGTCTGGGACACAGCCACTCAACGCCACAACACGCACACTTAGTGGCATCAGAACTCCACGTTGATGTTGCCCTCAGTCATTCAGATGGAGATATCAAAATGTTTACCCACCATTTCATCAAAACCGCTAGACTCTGTATGTCCCGTCTGAACGCAAGCATACAACTCAATGCACTTCGAGTGGCCAGACCACAAGTCAGTGTCTCGGCCACTGAAGGGTTAAGACACAGCTGAGACACAGTGTCTTGGACGTGGGACACTGAGCCGCTTGTGTGAACGCTAGTATTCACGCTAATGTATTTGCAGTCGCTGGACACTGTTCAGCCACCGTGTGTCTTGTCTGAAAGCGGCCTAAGTTTGCAGCGGAAATGGCCACACTTTTAAAGCTTCATATTTCTTGTTCATTTTGGAACTAAAAAATTCGAGTTCTCTAGCATCAATTGCATGTGAGTACTTTTGAGGTAAGATTAACCCAAGAGGTTGAAGGGTTTGATTCATAAATTAAAATTGTGGCCACTAGAGCACAAAAGGCAGACTCTCCACATACCTGAGAAGAGTTCCAGGAACTTCTCAACACCGTAGTTGAGCGGAAACCGGTAGCTACTGTCTTTGAGTGCGTCCATGGAGTGCACCTTGATGCGTTTCACCATGAAGCTGATGTTGTCGGCTTTCCCATCCTGGTTGAAGTCTGCAAGAATTACACTGTGCTGTACTTTTAGGACAAAAGATCTGTAACACGTGGTTCCTTAACATGTGCCACAATTCCCAAATATTATTACTAATCCGCAAGCTCCTTTCTCCAAGAGCATTCGCCAATGTCTTGATGCAATTTAGAGTTCCTTAAAATTATATATTACATTTTTAAAAATAACTGTAATAACATTACAAGTGCCCCTGTCATTTCGGCATGGTGCGCCCTAATGAGGAATGGGGGGGGGCACCACATATGAAGGAAAGTTGTGAATATACTGAATGAGTAGTCACGAGGAGTCAATAAGGGGTTGTCCTCCAGCTTAGGCTGGAGCTTAACGTTTAGAGGTATAAATGTGTGTTCCCACTGGACCAACATGCTCGGCTGATCCCGTATTGAACCCAAGATACCATTTCTGGCAACGGATCACTGACTCCTAACGTATATACTAAATTTAGGCATGCATCGAGCTACACATTCACTCCCCATTCGTCATGGCGCGGTGCTTAATTAAAAGTCTCTCTCTCTTTCTCTCTCTCCTGCTGCCCTCACTTAGAGCACAGGGCATCCTTGAAACGCTTTGTTTCAATTCAGTTGATCAAACCTAAGACACCTGGACTGGAGATCAGCTACATACACAGGACAATACAGACAAAGTAAACGCACACAGATACCCATGCCTTGAGTGGGATTGAATCCACGAACCCAGTGTTCGAGCGAGCGAAGACAGTTCATTTTTTTATTGCTAGTGGGGTGGGACTAAGTCCCTTGTACTGCGGAAACTTCTGGCCTATTGTACCAGCCCCATATGATAGGTGAGGGTGATTGTGGAGCAATTGGTGGAATGAAGATTGGCAGGGGTAACCGAAGTACTCGGAGAAAACCCACAACAGAGCCACTTTGTCCACTACAAATCCCACTTGACCAGACCCTGGATCGAACCCGGGCCGCCGCGGTGGGAAGCCAGCGACTAACCGCTTGAGCTATGGCGCGGCGAAGACAGTTCATTCCCGAGGCCGCGTGGCCACTGTGATCGGTTTATTTGAGTACAGTTACACCTTCATTTTACTTGCCTGTCCTTTCCCTCTCTTAGAACCAAATATTTTCTTCTGCACTATGTTCTCAAACAGCCTCATTCTGTGTTATTCCCTTGCTATCAGAGACCATGTTTCACACCCATATAAGGCGACATATAAAGTTATATTTTTATTTTAAAATATTATAAACAGAAAGTTGTTGGACATACAATTGTTACCACAAGAGCACTTAAAATTCTGCTGACATCCCAAGTTAATATTCTGGCGAAGGGCAGCACAAAACAGTAGATGGCGATGCATTTTTTAAAACTATAAAGTAATGTAGTACTTCAGAACTATCTCTACAAATGTTAACTGTTCATGAAACTGTCGAAGTCATGACCTCATATTCCAAGATATCACAGCTACGTACTTTACATTTTATCAGAGCAATTTACCTGTCGCCTTGTAAATGGAGTTGACCCGCTGGACATGCCTCGTCATAACTTCTATGCAGGCTTCCTCTGTCCCGTACTTCTGGTAGAACAGGTGATCCGCTTGCAGATACAGCATGCATGTCGTCTTTTTAGGGTCGATGGTGGCCCGCTTGTGGACATGCCGTACACTAGACACTTCGTCTGGAGTACCAGTAGAAGACATACTGCCGTTCGGCAAATCATAGAACACGCTTGGATTGTAGTAATAGGTATCCAGGCGACTGGATTCGCGAGGAGCCGCGATGTGGTAGCTGGAGTCTGTAGGTTGCGTCACTTCATCGCTGGACCATCTTCTCGACCTATTTTTCCTATGAGAGCGACTAACGGGATCCAATCCCGACCCACTTTTCCTATGAGAGCGACTAACGGGATCCAATCCCGACCCACGAGTTCTATCACCATCAGTGAATATATTAGACCTTCCGTCCACTTTATCAACGTAGCTGATCCAGTTGTCGTTACTACGTTCAGTACCGTCCTTCTGAAGATCTGTTCCCTTTAAGTGAGCTGACGCCGTGAGATCTTCGGCTATTTCACGCGGTGCGTTGTTACTCAGGTGGAGGAGCTGCGAGGCGCAGGGTTGAGCGAGCTGTGGACTGTAGACATCAGAAGAGCGATACACGATGCTATGGAAATGTGGCGCGCTAGTGTTTTGATTCACATAGCGACTCACCGGCTCGATGTAGAAATCTTCAAGACGGGTCGAGACAGTCCCATCGAACAGACCGTCTTCTGTCACTAGACCTCGCACCTCTGCCAGTTCGTCGTCTGAAACAGAAGAAATTCCTTCCTTTATTCTTTATTGCGTATGCTTATATGTGGGTCTTCTCTTAACTGGGGCACGTGGTAGCTTAGTTGGTTGAGGAACTAGGCTACAAGCAAGAAGGTCGCGGGTTCGATTCCCGATGAGGTCTTTGGACTTTTCAATTGACTTAATCTTTCCAGCCGCACTATGGCTCTGGGGTCGACTCAGCCTCTAACAGGAATGAGTACCAGGAATCTTCCCAGGAGTTAAACGGCTGCCGGCTCGTAAGGCTGACAACCTCACCGCCATCTGTGAGCCGACTGGCTAGAAAATGTGGAACGTCTCATCATCCTATGCGCCTTTACGGCCTCTCACAGGGACAGTTTTACCCTTTACTTTGCTCTTTCTCTTAACGATATAATACAAAGTGTCCGGCCAATTAAGGTGAGAACTGAGCGAGGAAGAGATGAAATTCGTGATACTGCTTGTAGCAAAATACTTTATCAGGGAATACCGGGTGGGTGCTAACGTACGCGTAAGTATAAAGTTCTTAGGTGACCAACTCAACTCCATGGAATATAGCCGTACTTGAGAAGCTAACAGTCGCTCAGCCAGTACAGAAATTTATCCCCTCTTTGGAACCCGATTATTAACGAAGAAAGCAGTCTTCTGGGATTTGGCACCGTGTATAAGTGGTNTAACCTTTGCGTTTTCCCCTCACTTGCTCAGCATGATTCCAGTCCACACAACATTTTTCGCAAGATATCTCCATTTTAATATCTTCGTCCCCCTTACACTCAGGTATTCCAAGTATCGTTTCCCTTTATGTTTCCCGATCTCTAATTCTGTTGATATTACTCACCCCCCTGCATGTACGAGTACATGCCCCACCTATCTGATCTCCCTTGACTCATCCATCTTAATAACATTTGGTAAAATGTGGGCTTGAAATTTATGGAACTCCTCAGTATGCAATTTTCTCTCCCCTGCTGTTACTAACTCCCTCTCAGGTTCAAATAATCTCCTCGATACCATCTTCTTAAAGACAGTCAATGTATATTCTTCCCTTAGAAGAGAGTCGAATCTTCACACATATATATGGAAACATAGGCAAGATTGAATTAATACGTATGTGTCAGCAAATTGTCCGTCACGGAACTATGCTCATATAATCCTCCAAGCTGCATATTAATAGTTACCAGAGTCCTAGAGTCATCATTTCCTATAAGGTCCCGTTCGATAGATATGTTCTAAGAGTTTTGTAGGGACAAGCAGTGGAGTAAATCAGCCGAGAACACACTGGAAAAGATCGCTGGCTGTTAACAATTTCGCCGAATTCCCAGGGGAGGACAAAAGCCCTTGAAAGTCTCGAATGTGGTACAGTGTTAAAACTCGCCCCAAAGGAAAGAGGTGTGAAGATACTGGGCATCATAGAACAGACCTCAAACCTGAATAATGCAAGGGGCAGTCAACGGGTTTATAATTTTGTATAAACATAATGGAGATGCTAAGCTTGGTTATGTAAAAATCATTTCTGAATAAATGCATAAGTCCCCCTCAGTACATCTTCTCCTCCCTCAGGTCATCGTACACAAAGAGCAACATACTCCGATGAATTACATGAATTAAGTTTTAATTGAAATATGTTGTATCCCCTTAGCCTGTCATATCGGCCACATGAATGGGAATATTTTCACGGTGTATTCACGCTTAAAAATAACAGCAGATAATCTGCACGTATAATCGTCAATAGTGTCTGTCCGTCTGTTCCACCTTGCTCCACGCAAATGGGGCGTCGTAGGAAAAAAATGGTTAGGACAAAAGATGGTCCTCTTGGAGGAAAATCGCTGGAAAATTGTTAATCTTGCTGCTATGTGCATGGGTTCAAATACAAGTCATCTTATTTCCAATTATTTCCTCCATAAGAAAGGCATCTGGATTTTGATAATAGCGGGATCATTGCTAGAATATCGAAAACAGTCTAATCTGTGTTCCTGTTGGAATACGGGTGAAAACCTAAACAGTCTTCTGCCGTTATTGGAATTGTGGACAACTCAAAATATCTTCTGTAAATGCTAGGACTGAGCAAACCCCAAATTATCTCCTACTGTCGTTAGGATACGGGCGAACACCTAAATTATCTTCCCCACTTATTAGGATTGAGGACACCAGAATATATTTCTGCTATTCCTAGCATTGAGGAAAACCAAAACTATCTTCTGTTCATGGCATAGCGCAGTCGGTATAGCGACCGTCTACGGACCGAACGGCTGAGGGGTCGGAGTTTCGAGTCCCGGTAAAGGTAAGATTTTTCTCTTCTCCACGCCGTCCATATCAGTTCTGGGGCCCATCCAACCTCCTGCCCAATGGGTAACGGTAAGGCCACCGGAGCGTGAAGCTGATCAGTCACGTCCAACCAAATAAAAACACATGGATCTATAGATTCACCCCCATACGCCTTCATGGCGTAGTGCTAAATTAGTTAAGCAGAGGGACAAATTTACCTTACCTTACTCTTGGTGGGATACGGGGAGAACACATCTATACTGCCGAGAGAGAAACATCAACAGAACGCAACATATACATGAGATGGGAAAGGAATATGGGGGAAAATGCGCGGAAGGAGGTGGAGGTACGAAATTGAAGTTGTTTTGATTTGGAGGAAAGGGAGGAAGGAAGAAAGAGTGGTATATGGTAGGACAGCCAAGAGACGCAAAAGAAATGCAGAAGAAAGAAGGAAAGGAGATACAAATAAATTGACGGCTAATGTAAGTAACAGCTACGAGCAAAAACAAACCTGAAATTGTAGTGCAGACTTTCTGCAGGAGAACGTCAGTCTTAAATTGACCGATAAGAGGACAGTAAAATTTAAATTGCTCTCCCAAATGATGGTACTGGGTTTAAAATTACATAAAGGAGCATACAAACGAGTATTAACGAACAAAGTATGTTTCCAAGAAGATTTCATTAAATCTGAGTAATTAACTTTTCCTAATTGTCCCGAGTTATCAGCCCTCCCGGAGTCATTATCTGCCACACTCCTCATCCAGCCGAGAAAAAGGCCGTCCAAATAATTTCTTCTAATCCGACAGGATGTTCTAATTGCAGGTCATTATTCAGCAACCAGTGGTGCCAACTACGTCTCAAAAAGTGGCAGCACTGATAGCTACAATAGAAGGTTATAAATCGTTACTATGTTCAGAGCCGTGAACAACTTCCCTTGCTATAAATATAGCCAACAGGCCACCTGCCTTTGTGATTTGCTTTTATGCCGTCTACATGCAACGTCGGCCGGTCATGGTAGCCGAGCGTTCTAAGGCATGTACTGTCTTCGCTCGCTTGGAAACCGGGATCGTGGGTTCGAATCCCACTTAGGGCATGCATCTTAGCTTGTGTGTGTGCGTTTTCCTGTGTTTGTGTACAGGTAGAGGCCTTGCGACGAGCTGATCGCCCGCCCAAGGAGTCCTACAGAATGTGTATGATCTAGAAAACCCGAAGTGAACGGAGAAGTTCATGGATGTAGGCCTAGGCCCACTGGGGCTGTAGTGCCAAGAAATAAAAGTATGCAACGTCGGTTACTATTCACTCGTCGTTTTTCTTCATTGCCACTACATGTTTCGGCATAACCGGCCAGCTTCAATTTTTTTTTTCACAGTGTGTATCAGGATACACACCAACTTATGGTTAAGTAAGGTTATCCGTCAGCATAACAAAAAACAAAAATGGGTCTTTAGTCAGTCAATATTTCTCAGATGGAATTTTATTTCTTATCGCTACATGTTTCGGGTCATCATGGGACCATCATCAGGAAGTATTATACAATATGATTAAGGTTATTTGAACTCCCAATATAGACCTTCAGCAGGAAAATACAACAGTATAAACTAACCCACCTATTACATAGCATTTGAAATGCTATCAGACTGGACCAGACTTAGTGAAGTTGGAATTTAAATATCTGAAGCACATATAGAACCACACAACAGTGTTTCCCGAAGTCATGATTTTATTTCTCGCAAAGTCCCAATTACAATCGCTCCAAGCTTCCTCCTGAGGTACAACAGGCAATGCGACCCAAGACCTCACATTCTTCTGGATTACAAATCTTATTTGTAGACAGCTGGTAGGACATTTTGGGCAGGCGATCGGCCCGTCGCAAGGCACAGGGTAAGAAAACACAGAAATAACGCATACAGTCATGCTACGAAATAAATTCGAGCCCATGATCCTAGTTTTCTAACCATAGACGACAGTATATGCCTTAGAATAGTCACTTACAAGCTACAGTAGTAAGATGTAAAATACCCAATGTTTTCCGCGTGTTAGTAATACACTGTCGTAAAATTACGCTGAGATATCTGATAAAATTACTGGAACCAGAACCCGAAGTTTAAAAATCAGCAACACTAAAGCCCGGCAATATTCCTGACCATAATTCGTAATAATCAATTTTACTTCCACACGACCTATTTCTTTAAGATTCGCTTTCGATATCCCCCCTCCCAAAGAAATCGAACTTAATCCTACACAAGGAAACAAACATACTGAAAATATATGTAATTATAACAGCAACAACAGCAGTAGGAAAGTCTTACTAGATGGAAAACATGAAACGACGAGAAGCATTAGGTAAATTGAAAATATCCACCTCATCGGGACTCGAACCCGCGATCTACCGGCTTGTATCATAGTGCCTCAACCAATTATGCTACCGCGTGCCCCTTAGAAATATATAAATTAAAAAGAAATATTCGGAAAGCCTGAATTGAAGGGAATAAATGCGCTTAGATGGGAACATGATATTGTCACGTGTATGGGGTTTGCGCGTGACTTATAAGACGGGTTTCGGATTGGATGTTTCGATTTATTGGCCCCTTATACATTCATCTCGGGAGTACAGGCAATTACAGCGCTACCGCTGATCTACATACACTACAGTTCACCGTTACACACGCACTAGAATTCTCAGGCCTCACTAGTCGCATCCTGGCAACAGTCTCACTGGCACTTCAAATCACATACT